CGACGACAAAGCTAATTTAATTATTTTCTCTTTTGTTATATTTTAATGGATGTAAATTGCTACTTACTTAACTAAATTGTAAAATCAAATCTGATTAATAGGCCCAGATAATCGATTCAAGTTGTCTCGCACCTTAAATGCCGCTCTTCGTCATCGACATGAATATGTTATATCTAAGAGATGATTATTCTGTCATCTACGGCAAGTAATACGTACGTTCTGATATTTTCCGTAGTTTATATTCTGATAGTTTCACGAGACGATAATACGTTATCATACATCGATTTTTTTACTATACAATTATTACAAATGAATAATAATACACTTTTAATAACAAATATTTAAAAAAACATTCACTTATTATAATTGTGACATTGTTAGATATTAAATGCGTTGTTAGTTTTACTTTAACTTTGCTCGACTTCTTGTATCGGTAGTTATTTGTTGCCCCCCCCCCCCCCCACATGGTGGATTAAACTGTGTAAATCAGTTTTAATTAACTATCTCACCTACTAATAAACATGGTCGCGACCCTAATGAGAATAAAGGTATGGTATTATTTCACAACATTATGAATAAAAAAACCATGCAATTATTATATTTAATGAAAAAAAAATTCTAAGGGATAACACCGATCTAAATAAACTTGGAAAGTAAAACATTATCTAAATTGTAATTACGTTCCGATACCATCTCAAAAATGGTTAGAGTGGTTTCCGATATATTACGTATCGACACAGAAATAAGTATATCATACATCTACCTATTACATAATCTTCATATTAGATAGATATTCTGTATAAGAAAATAATATTCTTACAAATAAAGATCCACTATGTAATTGGATAGGTTTCTTTAATATACAAGATTTATCGATTCTCTATGTTAATAGAATTTTCCTTATTTTTAACCAACTTCGAAAAAGACGAGGTATTTAACTCGATCGTATTTTTATGTGTGTTACCTCAGAACTTTTTCAGGAAGAACTAATTTTGATGATTCTTTTTTTATTTGAAAGCTGGTGCTTCTTATGGTAGTTTTTGAATTAGTCTTAATAATGTGTATTTAATTGACTTCGACTACATTGATGATGTTCTCATTTTATTTATTTTGAAGTCGTTTGTACAAAATGTTTAATTTTACCATTTGTTCTTTTTTTATTTGCTTAATATTTAAATAATATTAAAAATATACGGAACCTTTATTATTTAAAAAATGCAATTCTCAAAAATTTATTTTATGACTTTCAAGGCGTGTGCGAGAGTTTATGGTCGACCGCAGGTGTTCACGAGCTGCACTTACCTTAAGGTGCAGTTAAACAAGATCGTTGGTTACTCTCGTCAGAACGAGAGTCAGAGCGCTAGAACGCTATAAAAATAAAGAACTTGCAGAAATGAAATAACCCTCATGAAATCGAGTTAAGAATTTACATAACTTGAACACTAAATGAGCTACGTTAATGGTATTTAAGTTTCGTAAAGGATTAATATTATACAAAAATCTAACAAACCGTATTTTACGAGGGAGAATTCATTTTAAAAAGCAAATTACTTTTTCCATCTAGATGTTGATGTTATGATCCAATATTGCGAAAATCCTCGCCTCGAAAACTTGATTTATTTCATTGGATTGGGCTTATGGTCGTGAATACATTAAAATTTACCGTGAATCGGATAATATCTTCGCTCATTTTTGATATTATTCACCAGTAAAATGATAAATACATTACGAAGATCGAAATGTTACTTTCAAAAGATTACATAACAAAAAATACATGTACCTACATACAATACATACAAAAATACAAAAACATGACCTCTAAAGTATAATAATTTAGTTTATAGCTTTTTTTGTAATATTTTACACATTTATTAAAACCTCTTTTACGGATTTTATCGCGTGTAATTTGAATTATTTAATTCAAATTACAAATTACACAGTCTTATATTTCCTGCACACAATCTCCAAAATGTATCCAGTACGGCGGTAAGACTGGTTCTAACCATACTGGTGTCACCAATAACCTATTTAGCACGCCATTCCCTTAAGAACAAACCGCTTGGAGGCACTTTGCAGCACCAGACTATATATGACAGCAAAACTAAATGCATGACCGGACTTGCAGTTTACAATATAGTGTAAGCAACAACCTCAACAACTTATGTTATAGTGTAACAACTAAAGGCGGTTGTTGAATTGTAATGAAACATTTCGTAGAGAAGGAGCCAAAGTAAGCCGGTTCCCTTTAGTGGTGAAGAGACATGCTTGTGTTTTTCAGCCGTTGATTATCACGAGGTTGGCATCGCCCAAATCAGAGACTGTCTGCAGTGAGGGATTCACGTGCTCAACCATCGCTTCTAGTCCAAGCACTCGGCTGATATCTCTCCACAAATCTGCATTCCCATACCGGGCTTACGCAGGTGATTGATATGCAGAGTGAAGAAAGTTGCGGAAAGAACAGAGCCCTGAGGAACTCCGATGTTAGTTTATATAGGATCGGAAGAGTAGCCTTCGAATACGACTCGGAAAGACCGTTCACTTAAAAACCCAGCTGATCGGACTAGGGGATAAGCAGTACGCTAAAAGGCTCGCATATTGTTGAATGTTTTCGAGACATCAAGTGAAACAGCAATTAATTTCCACACTTTCACAGTACGCGAGTAACCTGGCAGTAACGAAATTGTTAATTGTATTTCAAGTGTTGATTTATCACGTGCTCGAAAAGAAGGAAAACATCGTGAGGGGACCGCGGTATGTCTGGGACACACAGATTAGGTAATCTGTGCTGGGACACGATTGTAAGAACGCATTTGTGCCGTACAGCAACAGATTACCCAATCGAAACAGAACAAATATTCCATGATACGGTATCTATTAGGGGGTAATCTGTGCGTACAGCGGAGACTAATTTGAAAAGGAGTTTTAGCGGGAACTTGGCCGACGACGGACTGTCGCTCCTGTTTTGTCGCTTGAATAATGGTTTGAAGTGGATTTAATTTGTAAAAGTGATGTGGTTTTGTGAATTAAATGTCTGCGCGTGTGAACTATTAGAGAAAACGACGAAACAAGTGATTTGATGTTGATATAAACCTCAAGTTAATTTGATCGCTTGGTCTCCTTATGAACTTGAGTGGCTGTTGTTATCAACAGTCCGCTGGGTTGAGCTGTCGTCAAAATCTTCCAAAAACTTCCCAATGTGACGCATCAGCATATTGTGAAGAAAAAATATATAAAACGAAATAAGAAATGATAGGCTCAGAAGGGCTAACCAGAGCCGTAAAGCCAGTTAAAATAAAACTAATTTGAAATAAATTTATTTTAGAAATGAGAGGACGCCAGTGTAGCCTATATACATATATATATATACACACACACACACACACACACACACACACACACACACACACACATATATATATATATATATATATATATATATATATATATATATTCCACTGCTGCGGAAACATATGAATAGCAACTTTAACTTTTACACTTTTATTTAGTATTTAAAAATTATTAGTTTACTACTAGCCGTAGCGCAGCGGCAGAGCATGTTGACTGCGGCGCTGCGGGGTTGGAATCTCGCACGAATAAAGCGTTTGTATGACCTACAAATAATTGTTCCGAGTCTGGTGTCCATGCGGAATTTAGGGATGTTCAACATCTTTATGATACAGGGGATTCTAAAAAATCCTGGTACAGATTAATGTGTGGTACTTTGTAGTCTTTTTCTGAAGATTTCACTTCTACTACGTGTAAACACATGTTAAATGTAAATAAAAGATTGTAAAGGGCACGGGCTTACCTGGATAAAAGCACATTATAGAGGTTTTACTAAAAATATCATACTTGGTACAAAATTAGTAATTTAGTAAGCTAATATTAAAATAAAAGTTATTATTCCGTTAAAATATTTACATAGACAGGTAATAGCTACACCTTGAGAAATATTTCTAAAATATAAAAACTGAAAAATATTCCAAATAAAAACGAAACTTAATACAGGCATTTATATATTATACAACATGCTTTTAGAAAGAAAAATTGGTGTAATAATATCTCAATTAAAGAACCCTTAGAGGACCGGAGGAAATCTTTTGAGAAGTCATTCATGTTAAAGCTAAAATGTAATACAATAAAGTCTATTTATTTACACTTTATTGCACCTTAACAAAAGATTCACAAAGGGCGGACTTAATGCCAGTAGGTATTCTCTACCAGTCAACCACACACAGTCCACACGTCCCTGCGTGTGGAAATTATGTGATAGGTGACAAAATAAAATGAAAAATAGAGTAAATCAAGGAAAAAACTACTGATAAACTTAATAATAATAATAATAGTGAGAGCCGAAACAGATAAGCAATCAAAATATCTGGACCTGGCTCACGAGGTGACCGACATGTGGGGTGGTCTGCCGACCGAAATTATTCCTGTAGTCGTCTCTGCAAACGGGCTAATCCCAGTCAGCCTCTCGGGTCATCTGAGGCGACTGGGACTCCGTGACGGACCGCTCCGGGCTCAAATGCAGAAGGCAGTGGTCCTCGATACCGCCCGCATCGTCCGTCGGTTTCTTTCCCTTTCCCCCTAACCCTCGGCCGTTTGGTCTCCCCTGCCGAGGGCTTCCATCTGGTTGGATCTTTATTTATTTGTGTATTTTTTTGTATTTATTTTATTTTATTGATATTTATGTATATTTATCTTTTCATTTTAATTTATAATTATATATTTATAGAAACCAACCAGATGAGAAAACTATACAGATACCCCACAATATATAATTAGGCGTAGGGAAGTGACGACCCCATCGCCCGCTGACGTAACGGTTATGTGACAAAACCGCTACGTCAGCGCAGTCAGTCAGCACCTTGCCAAGAGGTGTTAGTGCCGTGCCTCGGCAAAAAATTAAAGGTGCAAAGGCCCGCTTGTGCACATGGCCTCACCATGAAACGGCGCCGGGTCTGGGCGTCTCCCGCTAAATGACGCCCTAAAAATGGATGATGGAATTAAATAGAACGCGCAAAGGGCCGCTGCCTGGAGGTCGCCAGGGCGCGTCTGGAGCTGGCGCTGGACGCGACAGCATGCGAACCGCCAGCCGAGCGCGAGGTGCTGCACGACCACCCAGCAGCCCCTCGCATCCATCATCCCCACCAGCTGGCTTGGTGTCGGCAGGGTCTTCGCGGGCCCAGCAATCGGCACCCGCCTCTGGTGGAGTACGCCGCATGCGTTGGACAACCCAGATGAACAACAACGCATTGAGGGCGTATTTTAGGGCGAAAGGGGGAGAAACTGGAGGTTTTGCGTATCGGGCAAGGATGCATCGACTTTTTGCTGAGCTGGAGCCATCTGTAACCGTCACCGAGCAAAACCTGGCAGACCGAGTTCGGTATATCTTGCGCTCAAATACATTTGATGTTACCGAACTCGAACGGCTACGACGTGAGGCTGTTCCTTCATCGGGTGAAAATGCTGCGGCTGAGGATGCGGTGCCACAACTTGCTGAGCAAACGGCAAATGTAGATGCCGCCGTGAACACGCCAGTTGTGGTTGATTCAGACGTTTGCTGGGACAAATGTTAGTTTGTCCCAGCCAGATATAATGCAAAAACTGACGGAGCGCATAGACGACCTGAAGCAAAGAATCGCTGCTTGGGGAAAGCGGATTCGGCGATATACCGAGAGGTCGACACGGTTCAACCAGAATCGTCTCTTCCAGAGTGATCAGAAGAGGCTCTATAAATCATTGGAGCGACCAATAGTAAGTGGAACGGGCCCAGCACCAAATCAGGCCGACACGGTCGCATTCTGGCGCAGCCTGCGGTCAGAGCCCGTAAACCACAACGAGGGCCCTTGGACGGAAGTTGTGGCGAGGCAGTGTGCGTGTATTACGCCCATGGACCCCGTCATCATAACGTCGGATGACGTAGCTGAGGCGGTCGTAGGGCCCCGAATAATAAAATAAAAGTCCGGGGCTTGACGGGCTGCATCACTACTGGCTGAAGGGGTTCATGGTGTGTCACGCTGTGCTCGCCCGACAGTTTCAAGAGGCTCTCAACCAGAAGTCGCACCCAAGCCTCTTCACTACTGGGATCACTCATTTGGTTCCTAAAGATCAGGATGCCACAGACCCGAGCAAATACCGCCCCATCACGTGTCTACCGACCATATACAAGACACTAACATCCATTTTGAGCGCGAGAATCGCTCGTCATCTGGACTCTAATCAGGTGATGTCGCGCGCTCAAAATGGATGTCGGGGCGGCGGTCGTGGAACCAAGGAACCACTCCTCATTGACGCGGTCATTGGCAAAGTGGTGAAACGCAACCGTCGGAACTTCTCCGCCGCCTGGATAGATTACAGAAAGGCATTTGACTCGGTGCCCCATACATGGCTAAAGAGGGTCCTCGAGCTGTACAAGATTGACTGTACAGTTCGAGACTTCCTCGAACAGTGTATGGGGCAGTGGAGTACGATCCTCTGTCATCTAGGCGAGCGGATGACGGCTGCGGAAAGCCGCATAAGGATAAGAAGGAGTATATTAATAATAAGGGCGACTGTCTGAGTCCAGTCTGGTTCTGCCTCTCTTTGAACCCTCTCAGTACTTTACTGGAGGGCTCCGGGAGGGGATTTCAGCTTCGGAAAGGAGGTGCAAAAGTAACTCACCTTTTCTATATGGATGACCTCAAGTTATTCGCCTCCAGTCGCTCCCATCTTATGGAATTGCTAAACATCACTTGTGAATTTAGCAATTCTATTAGAATGGAACTGGGGACGGATAAGTGTGCGGTCCTCCATGTTGAGGGGGGAAGGATTGCTACCTCTGAGGGCATAGACTTATCTATGCCCGTCAACTTAAGGGCCCTTTCCGAGGCTGAAACATACCGATACCTTGGTATGTCACAGAACATCGGTATCGATGAGGCTGGTATGAAACAGTCAGTTTGCGACGTGTTTTATGCACGCTTGACCAAAGTGCTTAACAGCCTTTTTGCCCGGTGTGAATAAGACACATGCATATAACGGTTGGGTCATGCCTGTCCTCATGTATACCTTTGGCATACTCAGGTGGAGTCAGACTGAACTTAATACGCCCTGGATAGAAAAGTTCGCACTACAATGACGTCCCATAGGATGCATCATCCGAGATCGTCGGTAATGAGGCTGTACTTGCCGCGAAAGCATGGTGGGCGTGGCTTTCTGAGCGCGCTCACCATGCATAATCGCGAAGTGTGCAGCCTCCGTCACTACTTCCTGGCGAGATCGGATGATCCATTCTATAATGACGTCATTTCTAGTGATAAAGGACTTACCCCTCTATCCTTAGCCAACGAGCAATGGCAAGACCCGGCAGTACAGAGCATTTCCGACCGGGAGACCGTATGGAAGGAGAAGGAGCTCCACGGGAGGTACTACAGGGCTCTACATGAACCTAACGTAGATACAGCCGCCTCCCTCAACTGGCAACGTTTCGGTGACCTCTTCGGGGAAACCGAGGGTTTTGTCTGTGCAATACAGGATCAGGTTATTAAGACCAACAACTATCGGAGATACACCCTAAAGGATGGCACTGTCGACGTCTGTCAAGCTTGTCGCCATCCCGGGAAGTCACTTAGGCATGTCATCTCCGGTTGTTCGGCGCTTTCTAACTCTGAGTACTTGCACAGGCACAACCTAGTAGCCAGAATTCTACACCAGGAGCTCGCTCTGAAATACGGTCTCGTGGACCGAAAATTGCCGTATTACAAGTACTTGCCGGAAGCCGTGCTCGAAAATGACCGCGCCAAGCTCTACTGGGACCGGGCCATCATCACAGACAGGACTATTCTTTCGAATAAGCCTGATATTGTGTTGATGGACCGGGCACAGTCAAGGATATTTTTGATCGACATTACCATTCCGTATGACGAGAGCCTCGTGAAAGCCGAAACAGAGAAACGAACAAAATATCTGGACCTGGCTCACGAGGTGACCGACATGTGGGGTGGTCTGCCGACCGAAATTATCCCTGTAGTCATCTCTGCGAATGGGCTAATCCCAGTCAGCCTCTCGGGTCATCTGAGGTGACTGGGACTCCGTGACGGACCGCTCCGGGCTCAAATGCAGAAGGCGGTGCTCCTCGATACCGCCCGCATCGTCCGCCGGTTTCTTTCCCTTTCCCCCTAACCCTCGGCCGTTTGGTCTCCCCTGCCGAGGGCTCCCATCTGGTTGGATCTTATTTATTTATGTAGTTTTTGTGTTTATTTTATTTTATTGATATTTATGTATATTTATCTTTTCATTTTAATTTATAATTATATATTTATAGAACCCAACTAGGTGAGAAAATTCAATAGATACCCCAATAATAATAATAATAATAATCTTTATTTGCAAGAATATGGTTGTACAATGGTGTTTGAGTATAACGCCCTGGATAGAAAAGTCCGCACTACCATGACGTCCCATAGGATGCATCATCCGAGATCGTCGGTAATGACAGCCTCAGAAGGCGGTGCTCCTCGAAATACCGCCCGCATCGTCCGCCGGTTTCTTTCCCTTTCCCCCTAACCCTCGGCCGTTTGGTCTCCCCTGCCGAGGGCCTCCATCTGGTTGGGCTTTTATTTATTTATGTATTTTTATATTTATTTTGTGTTATTGATATTTATGTATATTTATCTTTTCATTTTCATTTATAATTATATATTTATAGAACCTAACCAGATGAGAAAACTATATAGATACCCCATAATAATAATAATCTTTATTTGCAAGAATATGGTTGTACAGTGGTGTTTGAGTATAATTCGTTCTACATATTCTACCTTAGTGGTGTGCAAATATTAATGGTCAAGTAACCTAAACAACAATACTTATCAAATTTAACAACATATATTAATTTAACAAAATATAAAATTATTTAATAATATTTACTTTTTTTTTTAATAGGATAGGGTGACAAACGAGCACACAGTCCACCTGATGGTAAGTGGTTGGTGCGGCCCATAGACATCTACATCTATCTTCCATTACAAATCAAAATGCAGATGCGTTGTCACCCGTGAGGACTGAGATGGAATGCCTCATTTCCAGTAAAAAGGGTCTCCGGTTCTCTACACTCACCATACGAAATACAGCAGCATTAAGCTACTATTTCACGCTGGTATTCTGTGAGAGCGTGGTCCTTCCCCGGTCGAGCCGACCCATTCGTGCTACAACTATACTACTAATATAATTGCAGCATGGCTCTAGTTAACGTGTCGTAACCCTGGAATCGGGCTGATATAGCAGTCGAACATAACAATGAACATATGTGGAACGCTTGTGCTGCGAAAAGTATCATCGTGGAAACAATGCAACTGTCTCGCAGTCTGACACCATCCACGCATAACTTAACTTCTTTTTTATAAATGTACAATTTGTTTGAACTTTGAATTAATTATTTTTGTTACTTTTCTGAAATTAAATTAATTATATTTTTAAAAAGTCTTTCGATCGCCGCCATATCGTAACTGGCGCAGTCGGTCTTTCGCGACAATTGGTAGAACCTTCGACCAATTGAACGGTTTCGATCGTATAAATCGCGACTTCGGATCTACGACGGCGGCACGGACGAAGACTTCACGTGGAGCTGACTCAGACCCGTGAGGAGATGCAGAAGGCGCTTTTGTGAGTACTCTCGCTATTTCAAGTTCCTTTGCTCTATTTCCTTCCGTATTTAGTTTAAGTAGTATATGTAATTCTGTCTAAAAGCTAAAATCGCTATAGACATTTAGTTAGGAGATTAGATATACATCTTATAGCTCAAATAGATAGCATAGGATAAGTCTAACAGCTAAAATCGCTGTAGACTCTTAGTTGAGGTCCGATAGTGTATTTGTCTTATAGCTAAAATCGCAAATAGGCAGGCACAGAGCCCCAACTTTTAAACTTATAAATTGTTTAATTATTGATTTAAAAATGTCTTTTCTTAACGACGATGCAGCCAACTTTAAGATGATCGCGGAATTGATGCCAAAGTACGATGGCAATACAAAGAGATTAAATCATTACATCAGAGAAATCGAAAATATCCTTAATCTTTTGGATGATACTGCCAGGGTACATCCGGCAATTATATGTCTCATAAAGAGTAGATTAAGCGGTACCGCGATTGATGCGATAGCGTACCAAGAAACTCTTAATTCTTGGGAAACAATTAAGGATGCGCTCGTACGTAGATTAAGGGAACCTAGAAATGAAATCCAGGTTATGCAAGAGCTAAGTAGGGTGCGGCGTAATAGAAACGAGGATGCCGAGACACTTGGTAGGCGGCTTCGAGAAATATTAGATACCTTATTTTCTGTAGGCACACATACTAATAAGTCGTATTACGAAAACATGGTAATAGAACAATACACAACTAATTTAGATTTTCAAGTTTCTATAGCGGTTCGAATAGCACAACCCACTACATTAGAATCAGCTATAGTAATAGCGAGACAAGAGGAAGCTAAACTCGCCTTTAATAAGACATTCCACAATAATAACTATAGTGCACCATCAACATTGGCTCAGGCAAAGTTTAGAGAACCAATACGAGCTGTAAATCAGCCTCAAAATT